GCTGCCCCCCTCCGTCCTGGCCGTGGCTGCTGGCGCCGAGCCCGCCGCACCTGCCTCTGCGCACTGATCGTTCCACCGCACGGAACGGCCCGCTCAGCTCAGGGAGTGCTGAGGGAGCAAAAGTCTCGGTGCATTTGCCTTAATTTTTAAAGTCACCCACGGACACTTTTATTCGTGCTTTCAGCTGCAGGCGGGGTTCGGGGGGCTCAGGACAGACCCCACTTGCTGGACATGCCAGGACTTCCCTCCTGACAGTGCCCGGCTTGGCCACCCTCTGCGCCTGTCACAGTGCGTGGTGAAGTGTTTCCTGGTCTCCCTCCTGGGACCTGGCGGATGAGACCGGCCTCGCCTCCGGCTGCGCCGACACCCGCGTCCTGCGCTGCTGCTCCTGACCACTGGGGGGCGCTGCAGGCCCACTGATGCTGCGCCAGCGCCGGGGACCCGTGGACCCAGACCCCAGGGCGCCCCTCGGCCTCTGCGGCCTGGCTGGCCCTGAAAGGGAAGGCACAAAGGGGAGCCCCCTCCCGGAGCCCCTCTCCTGCCTGTTGACGCATCAAGCCGGCCCCGCGCTCGGGGCGCTGTCAGGCGAAGGCGCAGCCGCCCGCTCCACGCTGGCTCGGACCCAGCGCCGGGGGGCCCAGCGCCCTGCCTCCCACGGGGGCCTCTGTCCCCGTGAGCCAAAAACCCATTTACAAATAATGGACATTTCTTCACCTGGCGTTGCCCGTGTTGATCAGCTTGAACATCCAGCAAAGCCTCCGTGATAACATGGCCAGTGGACCCTCGGCCGTGTGCGGGGCGGGCCGGCGAGGGGGCTGCCGCGGCTCCTTGGTGAGGCTGTCGGGCCAGTGTCTCTGGCGACAGATCAGAGGCTGGAGTGGGCACCTGCCTCCCTGAGGCCCCGCAGCCCCCGGCCCGGGGGTCAGCCTCCTGGAGGGGGAGCCGCTCCTCTTCCCGCGGGGCAGTCGGGGGGCTCTGACCAGGTTCGTCAAGGGCTCGCCCCCCGGCGCTGTGATCCCCGCTGAAGCAGCCGTGGAGAGGTCCCGGGTCAGGCCTCGGACGAGTCCTCAGCTGCCGTGTTGAGGCTCACGTGGCCTGGGGCGCTGGCCGCGAGCTCCCCACCCTGCAGCTGCAGTTCCCGGGCCCTGGCGGGAGTAACTCCCGGTGCCACGGTCGTCGCTTCCCTCGGGGACGGGGGTGCTGCTTGCTTCGTCCACAGCAGGGTCGGGTGGCGTGAAGCCGCCCCAGATTCCTCGCCAGCCAGTCCCACGGGCCTGGAGACACACCAGAGACACCGAGTGGAAAGTGGCTGGGCTGGCCGGGCAGCCTCCTCCACGCCGGCACCGGGCCCTGGACACTGCTTCTCTTGCGTGCGGCCTAAGAATCAGGTGGGACTGGACCTTCCGCAGGGGAGGCTGGCTGCTGGGTGGAGCCCTTCGGCGGGCGCCTCCCCCCATTTTCTGCCTGCAGACGAGGGTGTCTCGTCCCCATGAGGGAAGGCCGGGGCGCGTGGGAGACCGAAGGCTCCTCCAAGGGTGCAGGCGGAAGCGCGAGGGGGCTGCTGCAGCAGGCGACGGCTGTGGCCACGCGCCGTGTTCCCCGTGGACAGTGATGCGAGGGGACAGCCCGACGCCATCACGGGGCAGGCGCAGCAGGATGCGCTGGGCCGTGGTCTCGGCTCGCCCTGCACCGGGCTAGGCGCCATTTCTTGAGGTCAAGAGTTGGCGGGGAAGAGTTTCCTGCTTTATGGGGATCCCGCCGCTGCCTCCCGGGGCCGTGTGGACATCGGCAGGCACTCGCGGCTCAGAGCAGGGACCGCAAGGGGGGGACTTCGCGCAGCCCTGTCTCATGCTCGGGAGCGGCCTCTCCCACCCCGCTCCCCTGTGGGCCCGTGGCCGGAGGCCGTCCCTTCGCTCACGCTGCGTGGAGATGCCGCGGGCTCCTGGCAGATGGAGACTGTGGGTGTTAGACAGCTGCTTGTGGAGCCCCGGCGGAGGCGCCCCGCCAGGAGGGACTGAGGGGCGGGCGGGGGGCCTGGCGCAGGCGGGAGCGGGGCGCGCAGTGACGGCCTGGGGCTCACACCCCGGCTTCTCCTGCAGGCGTCTCCGTGGCTGGGCTTTGTCCTCTGGTGGGGGTGGGCCACCCCACCCCGCCCCCGGCTGTCTGCCTCGTCTCACACTCCTGGCCTGAGCCGTCCCTGGCGGGGGGTCCCCACTGGAGATTCACGGGGGGCTTTTGCTGTCTCCACTTGGAAGTGGCTCGCACGGCCATCCTGGGCAGCGAGGCCCCCTGTGCTCCCCCCAGCCCGTCGGCTGTTTGGGAGGCATGTCCTGGGTCTGAGCTCCCCTCCTGAGGGGCTGGGGACGGAGAGAGGGGGGCCCGCAGCACCTAAACGCATCCTCTCCGCCTCGGGCCCACCCCGAAGTGCTTGGGGAGCACGGGCGCCTTTCCGCCCCCGCCAGTCCTGGGCAGAGCTGGTAGCTCTTGAAACTGCTGCCGGAACGTGTGGCTTTGTGGAAAGACAACAACAGAAACTGCCAAGCGTGAGAGTCTCATCCACACAGCACGGACAATTAGTGCTATTTAATTACCAACAATGCTCGGCGCGCAGGTTGATTTATGGCCCCGCGGATGACACTCACGGTCTCGGAGGCGAGCGGGTTTCTCACAGTGAGTTGAGAGACAGGCAGGTCTGGGGGGACGGCTGTCCCAGGGGAGTGGGGTGTAGCCATGGGGTCCCCTCTAAGGCTCGTTGAGGCACTGCCTCCTCGCCCAGAGTTGAGCCGCACCCCCAGGGGAGAGTCGGGGCTCAGCTGGAGCGGAGTGCTGGGGAGGGAGTGGCCGCCTGCATCTGATTTCAGCCACGGTCAGGTGTCTGAGGTGCTCGTTCCTGAAAAAGCTTCCACAGCCACAGAAAAGCCGGCCCTGCCCGTGGACCGCGGGGTAGCTCAGCAGGCGCCTTTGTCCCGGGCAGAGCGGGGAATTGTTGGCCCTGGGACCCAACCCTGCGCCCCCAGAAGGCATCTGATGGTTGCGATTCTGGGGGGATCGTAAGTTGAGTCAAGAAATGGAAACGACTGCTTTGAGTTAGGAACAGGCCATTGACTGCTGGGCAATGACCGTGAGAAATTTAAAAACAGGCGCCGTGTCACAGCCACAGGGCTGGCCGCAGGTTGGCGCCGGCAGCTCTGGCTCTGCCGCAAAGGCCAGGGGAAGGTGTGCCGGCCCGGGCCTCAGTTTCCCCACCACTAGGGCCACGGGCCCAGGAAGCGGCCCCGGGGGCTGGACAAGCTCTGTCCCTGAGCTGGCTGGGCCAGCCCCGCGGCCGAGCGGAAGGCCGAGGAGGCGCAGAGGGGCTCGGCGCGGGATGTCACGGGCGGCGACGCTGAGGCTGAAGTTTCAGCAGCACCGAAACAGACAGTCTGTGCCACGTGAGCGCCGGGGAGGTTTGTAGGCGCTACACAGGGAAAGTTTAAGAGCGAGAAGAGAAAAGAGACGACAGGCCGACACTCGGGCAAGGCAGCCGGAACAGAGGCAGAGCGCGCTCCCCCCGGGGGCAGACGGCCCGCATTGCGCCAGCCTGCGCCCCACCTGCCCGCGCCCCACCTGCCCGCGCCCCACCTGCCCGCGCCCCACCTGCCCGCGCGCCCCACCTGCCCGCGCCCCACCTGCCCGCGCCCCACCTCCGCCGCCCCGCCGGGCACCCCTGCGGCCTGCCCCAGTGCCCTGCCGTGGCGAGGACCCTCTGGAGCCGCGAGGCGCCCCGGCCTCCTCTGGCGTGGCCTCCGAGGGCCCAGCTGCCCTCCCTCCCCGGCCTCTGCGCGGTCGGCTGCTCGCGGGGGCCGGGCTCGGCGGTACCGGCACCGGGGGTGTAAGAGCCGAGGCTGCGGGCTTCTGGGCGAGGGACGGGGCGGAGCCCCCAGAGCCCGGGTGTCCTCTCCTCGGCAGTGGGGTCGCGCGGCCCCCCCGGAGCCCTGACGGGGTCGCTGGAGCAGGGCTGGGCCCGCCGGGCTCGGGACGGCGGGTCGGGGCCTCCGCAGGTCCCGGGCGCCCGGCACGGTGAGGACGAGGCCGGGCCGCGGGCGGCACCTGTTGGGGGCGGCGGCTCCGGGCCCGGGCGGGCCGGCTCCCCCCTGGCGGCCGCACGCGCGGGGCGCGGAGCCGGGGGCGGGAGCGCGGCCGGGGGGTGGGGTCTGCCGCGCGGATTGGGGCTCGCGGCTGTCACTCCGGCAGGGTGGGGCGTATTTTAAAAAGACACAGTTGCGGCGGAGCCCCAAACCCGCGCGGGCAGCGGCGCTCGCCTGGCCGCTCCGGAGCCGCCCTGGCCGCGGGGCGCGGGGCGCGGGGCGCGGACGCCGGGTCCCCGGGGCCTCCTCCGCGCGCCGGCGCCTCCCCGGGCCGGGGCCGCCCGCGTCTCCGCCGCCGGCCGGGCGCTCGGCGCGCGCAGAGCCCGCGAGCCGGGGCCGGGCGGGGCGGCGCGGGGGCGCGGGCGGCGGCGCACCCCACCAAACTTTGGGCGCCGGCGCGCGCGCGATCCCCGGGCGCCGCCCGGCCGGCATGGGGGCCCGGCGCCCGCGCGCCCCGCGCCTCCCCGCGCGCCGGGCGGCTTGGCCGGGGGCCTCGGCGTCGCCTCCGCCCGCGCCCCGGGCGCCGCAGCCCCGCCGCCCCGCCGCGCGCTAGCCCCGCCGCGCCCCGCGGCCCGCGCCCCGAGGCCGCCCTGTCTGGGCCGCTGCGCGCCCGAGCGGCGGCGGGAGCGAGTCCTCGTGGCTGCGGAGAGCTGCCCGGCGGGCGGCGAGCGAGAGGCGGCTGGGCCTGCGCGCCCCGGGCTCCGGGGCGCCTCCGCGCCCGGCATGGACCCGCAGGAGGAGCGCGCAGGGCGCCCCGGCCCCGCCGGCCCCTAGCCCCGCGCCCCCGCCCCGCGCAGCGCCGGCCCCGGCCCGGCCCGTGTCCTCTTCGCGCGGACGGCGCCGGGAGCGGAGGACCCGCGCTGCGGGCCCAGGATGCGCCCATCTGACATGGGGACGCCGTGGCACCGCTGGCCCCCCGTGCTCCTCAGCCTGGCCGCCCTGTTCTCCGCAGGTGAGGGCTCGCCGTGGCCTCTGGCCTCGGGCTAACTTCGCCGGGGGGGGGGGGGGGCGCGGGGAGGGGCGGCCCGAGCGCGGGCGTGGGCTGCGGGGCGGCCTGGGCGCGCGGGTGCGCGTGACCGGCGAGGCCGAGCGGCCTCCTGCAGCAGGTGCGTCCCGGCGGCCTCAGGGGGAGGCCCGAGGTGGGACGGAGGGCACCGGAGAGAGCCGGGGGCACCGGGGAGAGCCGGGGGCACGGGGAGAGCCGGGGGCACGGGGGAGAGCCGGGCTCCCGCTGCCCGACGGCGCTCCCGAGGGGACGGGCTGCGGGACCGGGCGGCGGGAGGTGCTGGAATTCGGGCTGACTTTCCCGCCGGCACTGACCTGTGAGGAAATAACTCCGGAGCGTCCTCTGCGGGGGCGCTGCCCGGGCGCGCGGGGGCCGCGTCCTGGCGGGGGCCGGCCGGGTGCGGGGGGCGCGCCCGCCACTTGTCCTCGGAGCTCCTCCCGCAGGCCCGGCCGAGCAGTTGGGGCTCCCGTGCCCCCCCCACCCCGGCGCCCTCCGTCTCGGGCAGGCGCGTGGGGGCTGCGGACGCGCACGCGAGCGAGAAGGTGGGGCTCGCGCGGGACCCCCGGGAGCGCCAGTCCCCTGCCCCCGCGCGCCCCGGCCCAGCCGCCCTCCCCTGGGGCGCTCGTGCGGGCGGGGGGCGGGGGTGTCCGCGTCTCCACCGCCCGAGCCCAGCGCGGTTTCCCGAGCGGGTCTGGGACGAGCGCGCAGCGACTCCAGGCCCGCGGGGGCCGGGTCCCGGCGCGGGGTTTCCTCTGGGCGCCGCCGGCCGGGGAGGCTGCAGCGCCGGGACGGACGTGGCCGCAGGGGCGCCGCGCGGGGCCGGCCTGGGATGGGGCGCGGGGCGCCCGCCCGCTGTGTTCGCAGGTGCCATCGGGCGGCGCGTGTCCCTCCCGCGGGCCGCGCGGGGCTGCGGGGGCGCGGGTGGGCGCGCAGCGGGCGGCGGGCGCGAGCCGAACCCGGGCCGGCGGCGCCGCTGCGAGGCCCGCTTGTCAGCGGCCGCCCTGGGTTCCGCGGCAGGAGGGCGCGGCGGGCCTGTGTCCTCAGCCTGCGGCGCCGGCACCGGGGCTCGGAGGAAGCGACGGCTCCGCGAGCGGGATCGGGCGGGCGGTGCTGGGCTCCGCGCCGTCCCCGGGCCCGCCTGTCCGTCCACGCCCGCCCCGCGCCGTGGCCCCTGCGCGCGCGGGCTCCGCGGGGAGACGCGCCACGAGCCCACGCGTGTCCGTGTCCCGGTGTGGGTTTCGGGAACGCGCAGCTCCCCAGAGGGGCGTGGGTCACGCGGCGACCTCCCCGCAGTAGCCCCGGGAGGCGGCTCAGGGGGGTTCAGACCCGGCCGCGGGGGGGGGGCAGCAAACAGCCCCCCGCTGGGGTGTGTGACCCGGCCCGCAGGGGAGGCGTCGGCCGGGAGCTGTGGTTCTTTTTCCCTGGTCCAGGCGGTGCTTCCCGCTGCCCACTGAGGTCAAACCTGCCCGCTGAGTGCGGGAAGGGCTTTATTTACTTATTTTCCCTCAATTTCATAAATCTGTCAGGTGCTTACTAACTATGTAATTTGGGGGTACCACCTCACTCCTCCACGTGTGCTCACGCCTCACTCCCCCTCCATGGGAGCTGGGGAGCCGGGCCCAGGCCCCTGCCCTGCCCGCCTCCCTCTGCCCCACTCCCCTGGTGCCCGCAGAGCCCTCCCGGCCGGGGTCGCTGCGCTGCGCGGGGCCGCGTGCTCTCTTTGGCTACTTGCAGGGCGCAGATGAGTGAGCTGGGCCGGCCACTCTCACCTCCGCCTGTTTCACTTCACACTCTCACCCCAGGATGGATCCATTTATCCCAACAGACACGTGCCCTCTTTTTCACAGCTGAGTAGTATTCCCCAGAGCCTGTTAACTGGGAGCAAACGTGTGCGCGCTCTCAGAGGTCGGGCGCCCTGGAGAGTGTAGCCGTGCCACTGTGGCGGGGGCTCGGGTCTCGGGGCTGTGCTGGCCAAGGGCTCTGCCCGTGTGGGGTGTTCTGGGTTCTAGGGCGACTCCGCAGAATTCCCACATCCCCAGCCCCCAGGTCGGAGTGGAGCTGCAGGCAGCAGAGCACCGTCTTTACTGAAGCGTCCCCACAGCCCTGGCAGGAGGGATTGCTTCAGAGCACCGGGCCTGCGTCTCCAGGCGCTCCCGAGAGGCGGTCGTAGAGGAGGGAGGATGGTGGGGGGTGTGTGTGAGCGAGACTTTACAGATTACATTTAAACACTGAAAATTAAAAGACTAGGAAACGGGGTGACCGTTGTTTTACTTTCTCTGAGTTAAAAAGTTAATAATGTTGTTTTATTAAAAGTAATTATATGTAGGGCCTCCCCGATGGTGCAGGTGGTTGAGCGCTGCGTTGCAAAGCTGCCCGCAGCCTCTGCAGCGCCAGTTCGATCCCCGGCCACCGGCGAGGGTCCCACATGGCGCGCAGACCTCCCCTGCCGCCCGCTGCTCCCCTCAGCAGTGTCCTTCGGTCCTTCTGCCTGTTCTGCTCCCCGCTCTGGCTCTGGTGAATCCTCTCACCCTCCTGTACCTCTGGCCTGTACCCTGGTTCTTATGTAAATAAATAAATAAATCTTAAAAAAAATTAAAAAAATGTATAGAAAGGTAGAATTTCACATATGAGGATCCATTTAATTTAGTTCCAATCTAAAAACTAAGAAAAAAAGAAAAAAGACAACCTCCAAAAATGTATTGCAAAGCTTGTACTGCTGCGTACATCTAATCATCTGTCCCTGTGTCCACTCGTCCGCTGACCCAGATAGTCACCTGTGCACCCGCCCTCCACCCGCCCCCCCCATATTCCATAGTCCATGATTTCACCCGCCCTCCATCCACCCACCACCCGTCCTCCCCACCCCCCGTCCTCGCTTCCCTCCCTGGAGCCCCATCTGGGTCCTGGGGAGGGGAGCGGAGCCTGTTCTCTGTCCTCTGGGCCCAAGCCCTGGCTGCCCCTTGGTGAGACTGTGGAGAAGGAGGAGGCGCATGGAGAGGGAAGGTGGAGGATTTTACTCCTGTTCTCAGAGGCAGGTGCTGCGCTCAGTGAGCCTGTCGTGAGTTGGACTTTGGGTGCCAGATGGGATGGCATGTGGGGGCTCCTGCAGGAGAAAGGGGTGACCACCCCACCCACGCCAGCCTGACGTCATTGTAAAATAAGCCCAAAGACTCAGAATATCTTTATAATCGTGCTTTTGTCATTTATTTTTAAAAGGTCTGCTCCCGGGAATCACTCAGAGGAGCCCCGCGGCGAGGCCAGGGCTGCTTCTCAGCGAGGCTCTCAAGGGCTGTGCCTGTGGTGGAGCGAGGGTGCCCGAGGTGCCCCAGCTTCGCGAAAGTTGTGTGGCCCTCTGGAGGGAGGGAGCCTTGAACTTGAAAGAGAACACGCTTGACATCGGGTGGAGTCGGGTGGAACAGAGGCTCACGCGCCGCTGTCCCTGCAGCCTGGCCTCGCGGTGTCTCACGTGCCAGCGGAGAGAGGGTGCGCGCCGCGCTCTGAACTGGGTGCGAAGGGAGGCCCTGGCGCCCTGAAGACGCAGGCCCTCAGCCCAAGGCTCCACCTCTTGGACATCACGTCGCTTTGCTTTGAGAGCGCAGTGCGTGCTCGTTGAGTGGGGACGCGCCGAGCAGGTTCCCCAGGAAGGAAGATTTTGTTCCCGTGTCACTGTTTGTTTTCAGGCAGAAAAGCCGCGCTGGCGGGGGCGCCTCAGTGGGCACCAGCTTGCAGAGAGCAGGGTTTGGCCGTCCTGGGGTCTTGGCGGCAGGAAAGGTTTTGACATCCAACTGACATGGTGGCCACGCAGCCTGGGAAGAAGTGCAGGAATGCCTGGTGACGGGCAGTGCCCAGCAGGGGTGCCGGACCTGAGGAGGCCTGGGGGCTCCACCCACACAGATGCGGCTACAGTCCCCTGGCTCCAGGGCTGATGGCTTGGCACAGGCGACCGAGCCTGTGGGGAGTGGCTCCGGCTGGTGTGGGCATGGACGTGACCCTGGGCTACTGGGGCTGTGTGGACCGTGTGTTTGACCACAGGGGGATGTGGTGGCAGCAGATGGCAATGCGGCCTGGGGCACAGGAGAGGGCGTGGGGTGCCCTCCCTGGGGTGGCCTCACGAAGGAACGTCAGGCGGCATGTTAGGTGGGTGGCGGTGGCTGGGGCTCAGGGGTCAGGCCAGCCTGGCCTTGCTGTTGGGAGCCGTGCGACTGGGCCTGAGGCCTTGCGGACTCGGGACCTGGGGCTCAGCGCGCTGAGCAGAGGGGGACGCACAGAGGCAGCTGCGGGCGGTCCAGGCGTGGGGCCTGCGCCGGGGCCTGGTCCCCTGCGGGTCCTCCTGGTCGCCTCCAGGAGGTGCAGCCCACTCTGTCCTCCAGCTCAGTCTCAGGCGCCCACTGCCGCCTGGGGCAGGCAGCGCCGTGCAGGCGAGAACGTCCTCCCGTTGTGGAGGAGTAAATAACTTCCTGAAGGAAATAGCTCCAGAGTCTGGAGTCTGGAGTCTGGCTGTGGGCCTGCGAGGTGTGGCCGGACGGGCCCCTCCACCGACAGGGGCCGCGGGCCAGCGACACACCCTGAGGGGCCGCCACCGAGAAGCAGAGCCCCGCCTGGTCGCCAGCGCTGGCCCGGAGTGGAATTTTGGATTCTGCTCCGAGGACAGCGCTGCCCCGGAACGGCGCCTCTTGGAGAAGTTGCTGCATCCTTTGAGTGTTTGTTTGAACGCAGTGGAAGCTTTTGTTTTCCAGTCCTTAATTAGATGTAAAAACGATGCACAATGGAAATTACTGTTGTGAATAAATATTTGCATTCCGTGCTGTAAAACGCAAGCATCAAAACACACAATTGCTTGTTTTACAAGCACTCAATATTTTGAAATGTGATCACGGAACGACTGCGAATTCCACTGAATGGGAGAGACAGCCGCGCCCCTGAAGTTATTTACATTTTCCGGGAAC